ATAAACGTTAAGCCTTTTCCAAAAATAGAATCAGTAGCAACACGAGGAGGTGTCATGGCGTCTGTTTATTTTGATGACGTCACAAAAGTTACGGATGCTTGAATATGGTCGATATATTGGCCTTTTCAATTTTCAAAAGGATGGAAAATAATTATTTTAATGGTTATATTTTTATTGAACAATCATCAAAATAGCTCTGTGGATGAGAAGAGTGGGCGATTATGTTTATGTATGAATGATTCTTAAGTGGAATTGCTCGCAGTGGGAGTCAAGCCATGAAGAATGAAGTATACTTACTTTTATTAATACCTCCATGCTTTCAATGAATGAAATGAATGGTATTTCATTAAATGTGTAGGATGCCAGGCCGGGCTATTTTTAGAATAACACATATTAATGTTTACATTTTGTACAATATCCAAGTGTTAAAAGTTTCAATGGCTTTTCAGGCTTTTTGTCTTCATAAAGTCTTTTTGGCCTGGTATCCTACACACATTAAATACGATACCTTTCATTTATCCATTGAGTGCATGGAGGTATTAATAAATAAATAAAGTTACATTTAATTCCTTAAAGCTGAGTAAAAAAAATAATGTTCAATGAAATATAAACCATTAAAATAATTATTTTCGATCCTTATTAAAATTTTGAAAGACCTCTATGATCGCCATATTCACAAAGCATCCGTAACTTTGGTGACGTCATCAAATAAACGCATGTGCTTTTTCCAAAAATAGAATCAGACGCCATGATCCCTCGAATTGCTACTGATCTAGCCTTAACCCTCTATTTTTACGGCACGTTTTATCATTATTATTATTATTATTATTATTATTATTATTATTAATTATTTCAGGGGAAAAAAAATAATGAAGGCTTCTTTAACGAGAAAATTAATATATATATATATATATATATATATATATATATATATACATATATATATATATTATATATATATATATATAGTAATCGTAACTACTTTACAATTGTGTAAAAACCGTGTGTAAAGTATTCTTTTTGTTTAATATAAGAACATTAGCTTACTTTCCATGTATGAACTCCTCCAAGTGAAACCCAACACGTATTAATTTTCAAAGGATAAGTGACGGATAGGAGTGCAAAATACGGAACAGTACACCTTTCATGTGTTATAACAATCACCAATTAATTAGAATTCCATTAGATTACTCTATAATACGCTATCTCTGCGCAACCAAAAATGTCTGTTTATGCAAATGATTTGTTATAAATGAAATATATTGAATCTAAATGGTGAGGCGTTTCAAGGAAATAATGAAATAATGCTTCCCTTAATAAGAGAATTAAATAAATAACATAACGTCGAATGTGTCACACAGTGTAAAGAAGTTATCAATAAAACTGAATATACTGTGTAGTCCACTATTTTTGCATAATCAAAAACGTTTGTTTACTTTCAACTGATGAGTTATACGAAAATTAACTGAATTTGTGCAAAGAGGTAGTTTTGTGTGACAAGAGAAAAGACGTAGTGTTAACCTTCATGAAAGACTTGTTTCCATGTTTTCTATAAACTTTCTTCAGGTATGATATATTTCAGCGACTTGTGAGATACATGTATAAGGTGTGGAGGCTACAGTGTGTATCATTTTAGGTTTATGAGAGGCTTGTAGAAATAAATATATGAATAAAATACGTGAAACCTGTATCTTATCGTTTGGGTTCCTGAATTTAAAATTTAAAAGTAGTGTGTATATCCACATCTATTGCTCTCAATGAAGGAGTGGCCAAAAACATACACGAAGAGGCAACATATCCCTGTGACACCAACACAACCAGCAATCCACCTCAGATCATTGCCTATCAAATTTGCTCCTCATTATAGCACTGCACAAAGGGGAGCATATGTAACACTATTATAACACAGTTACACCCAAGAACCTTCATTAATGATTGTGAGAGTATGCACCTCTTTTCATAGTATTCATGTGATAAACAAGCTATAGTTAAAAAAAAAAAGAGTATTTTCAGAGCATGTTAATATATCGGAAAGAGTGCATATCGTTCAGAGAGATTCGTTTGTTTATGCATTTGACTGAAATATATTGGATATTTTGGCCGTACTTTTTCGTCTATACAGCTTAAATCATTCGAACCCTCTCCTCCATTACTAGAGTTACCCCTGTGTTATGCTGTTCCGTTCTTCTTGGAGCTAGAAAGCGAACATGTTGGGTGAGGTGCCACATAGCCACTTTTCTTCTTAACTTTAGCCCAATAGGCCTTTATCCTCTTCTTGGCAGACTCACTCCAAGCCACGTCTTTTTTTTAGTCTTCCCATTGTGTAAGATAACAGGAAAGCGCACTGGATAAAGAATGATAATCTGCAAACACAACACTCACACAAACCACACACACAGTCACATCACACACACACACACCACACACACGCACACACACACACCACACACCACACACACACACACCACAAAATCACGTGTGCTGCTGGTGCGGCCACTCTCACCGGGCTCCGAGTGATACCAAAGACAGGGTATCGTATTAGTCCCATACGTACATAAAAGCACGGAAAAAACGAATAAAAATAATGCACAAAATACAAGAAAGCTAAATGACAGTTTAAAACTGCTATCCCCAGCGCGTGTGGTAGGCACAGGACGCCACGCCTAAAGATATGCCTCATATATGTGAATGGTATTATTTTATAGAAAAAAAAATCCATTTTTAACAAACTCCCAACTCATTTAAATGACTCCCCCCCCCCCCCCCCATAAACGCGCACCTTTAAACGTGTTGGTGATGAAAAATAAACAGTCGATTTGTAAATATTATATGTATATTAATCTTGTACTTTATAAATGTGTACTTATCGCTCTCTATCCGAGACTTTTGTAGATGCTAAATTAGGATTCATTACACTTGTTTTAGTGTTGTATATCGAGTTGGAGTACGCGTAAACATTACCGGTTCACCACCATGCTCGGGATTTCTCGTTAAAGATAAAGAATTACTGTCACAGTTATTGGGGCACATTTAATATTTACGGCGCTGTTTGGAGGGATCATCTCACATGGCTGGAGATAGGGAACCTGCAAGCCTCCTATCTCTCATTAGCATCATAGGCAAAGTCCTATCAGATATGAACACAATAACCGCCTCTTAAGTAGCGAATATTTTATCGTACATTATATCTATAATATGATACAAATTTTGCTTCTGCCAGATAGTGTCACCATGAAAGAGGGGTAGCGATCAGCATTTCTTTCTTTGGAGACGCACAGGTCTGATCTCGAAACATATTTATATTAGGGTTTTAAAATTTGGTTAAGACTGATACCAACGTATGATCGAAAGTGAGGATTACACAGAGATACATAACAGCGACTATAACATTATATATATATATATAATATTGAATTAATTAGGTATTATATTATAAATACTTATGAATTATAATATATTTAATTATATATATTATATTATATTTTATTATTATATTTTCAGAGGTAACGTTTATATGAATAGGCACGTAATGGGTATACACGTATCATAGACACCTAGTGTATATATTACCATTTATAAATTTAGACACTATATTATCACAATTAAATTTATGAAGTAGGTGGTAATTTCTCGAGCTTCTCATTAGCATTTCATGGAGGAGGGATAGTAGGAGTGAGTAGGTGGGGGGGAGAATAATATATATACTAATTTTACTTCTCAGTAATAACGTACCATGATATTAAACATAAATTGGAAGTGTTGAAACATTATTAGAGGACTCATTATGTATACTAATGTACATACTTATTCATTAGTATTATTAAACATGAAATTCAAGGACACATAAATGATACGATTGAATTACAATAGTGACGTACGAAAATAATGAATGAATAGTTCAAAATTTATAAATTTATAAAACTATTTACAGGTAAATGGATGAAATAGTAAAAAGCAATTTGGTGAATCTAGGAATTGGTATTGTAAGTATTCAATAGTCACATAGATACATGATATAAATATCAAGTGTGTAAATTAGAAATATTTTCATCATTAACTCAGTACATTCCGTCATGTATAACTATATTAAGAGATACGGACACATATAACCATATGAAATTATCAAATGTGATCTCAAATGACATAATCAATCATATTATATACATTTGAAATCAACTCATGTGATAAATATCGAATAACATGTTCGATATACTTTTAATATATTTATATAATAATAATGTATTTTATCATTTTATATACATAGCAATTATATCCTATATAATAAAACATAATAATATAATATATCTAAATAAAACAATGAATCTCAAAATCATCTATACAGACTATTCTATGACTTAGAGAAATAAGAACTCATACATTATCTGATCACTCACTAGAGCAATAATATATTTACATTATAAATGAAATGTTTGTTCAATTTCACATGAATATATTTTAGCTATTCACTGTTATGGACGAATATAATGATAGTATATTCTTGTTAGATATATATATAGGTATGCAGATAACGTTAATATGACTCAAAGGGCAGAACAACAGTGAGGGAATGATATAACTTGATGAGAATATTATTACACTATAGAGCATCTAATGTATATATCTTTTGTGTATCACTGTAAAAGAACATGACAGAATATACATATATATATAAGCACATCATTTATATATATACTATATTATAATATATATATATATTATATGATATATATATATATATATTATATGTATGTATGTATGTTGTATATATATATATATATATATATATATATATATATTATATTATATATATATATTATATACAATGTATGTATGTATGTAGATATATAGATGTATATTATTATAATATATATATATTGATATATACTTCTATTTTGTGATCATAATATATATATATATATATATATACAACATTCAGTAAAAAGCAATATCGAGATACATCACATATAGTGGCATCATAGTGAGATGAAATAATTAATACT